CACAGTGACCCAAGTGGGTCTGTCCTAGAGGATCTGAGGATTGTCCCCCCATGTGCCTGTGGTCACACTGATGTCCCCATGTCCCCTTCGTGGTGTCCCCAGAGCCTTCTGGTGCTGCTCGACCTGCTGGGCGCACAGAACCCCGCCATCCACAGCCACTTCCCCCAAACCCACCACTGGTTCCTGCGCCTCGTGGCCATCGGTGCGTGCGGGGACATGGGGTGACCGTGGGGACACTGTGGGGACACGGGGATGTGGGGCGGGATGGAGTTGGGACTGGGATGAGGACAGGGAATGGATGCGACGTGGGGTTGGGGACATGGGGACCATGGGGATGGGGACGTGGGATGGGGATGAGGGGGTGGGGACACGGTGTGGGTAGGACACGGGGTTGGGGGACATGGGGACATGAGGTGAATGGGACATGGAGGCATGGAGCTGGAGGCGTGGGGGACAAGGAGATGGGATGAGGACATGGAGGTGGGGGCTTGGACAGGGACGGGATGGGGGACAGGGTTGGGACAAAGGGATTGGGATGGGACTGGGGACACAGGGATGGAGACGGGGGTGTCACAGGGGGCTCTGCCCACTCCTGTCTTCTCTGTGTCACCCTCCGTGTCCCCCTTTGTCCCCTCCCCTGTGCAGAGAAGCGTCTGCGGCGCCTGGGGCTGCTCCACGCCTCCCCCCACGACCAACCCTTCTTCAGGCTCAGCCCGGCCCCGGGGCCAGTGGAGGACGACCACGTCCCCTTCCTGCAGCGTGGTAATGTCCCCAAGTTCCCAAATCTCCATGCCTCCATGTCCCCACATTCCCCCCCCCCATCCCCAAATCCCACATCCCTTTGTCCCCAGATCTCCATGTCCCCGTGTCCATGAATTCCCATATCCCTATGTCTCCCCGTGTCGCTCCAACCCCGAATCCCCACACCCTCGTGTCCCCATGTCACTGTGTTTGTTCCCGGGCCTCCACGTCCCCATGTCCACCCATCCCCAAATCCCCATATCCCGCGTCCCCATATCCCACATCCATGTGACCCCGCGTCCCCCCCACCCCGTCCCCATACCCCACGTCCCAATGTCCCCAAGCCATCCCCCATTCCACAGAGCTCACCCCCACCCTCCGTGTCCCCACAGGTGTCCCCGTGCTGCACCTCATCCCCCTGCCCTTCCCGTGGGTCTGGCACACGGCCGAGGACAACGAGGGCAACCTGCACCCACCCACCATGGAGGACCTCTGCAAGATCCTCACTGCCTTCGTGGCTGAATTCCTGCAGCTCTGAGCCCCCCGTGTCACACGTTGTCCCCCCCCTTGTCACCCCCGGTCTGAGCCAGCCGGGGTGCTGGGACGACCCCTGGTTGTGCTGGGAGCCACCAATAAAGTCTGTGGGGTCTGGCGTTGTGTCCTGTGCTGTCACCCATTGTGGGGACATCTGTGGGGACACCGTTTGGGATTGATGGGGACGTTTGTGGGATCAACCGTGGGGGCGCTGATGGGGACCAGTGACAGAGACACCCATGGGGACGCCCACGGGGCCCACCAATGGATGGGGACATTGATGGGGACACCTATGGGGTCCAACCATAGGGACAACCATGGGGACAGTGGTGGGGACATGGATGGGGACCACCAATGGAATGGAGGGATGCAAAGAATGGGGCGCTGCGGGCAATTAAGTCCATGGGGCTTAATGAGCATCTCATTATGTTGGGTTTCTTAGGGAGAAAATTGTCCTCCAAGATGGACCTTGAAGGGACCCAAAACGGAGCAAAAACGAACCAAAGATGGACCTAAAAGGAGTCCAAAACTGACCTACAAGGGGCCTAAAATTTGACCTAAAATGGTCAAAAGGACCTAAAAGAGGCCTAAAAAGGTCAGAAAATGAATTTAGAAGGGACCTAAAAAAACCTACAAGGGAACCAAAAGGGTCCAAACTGGACATAAAAAAGTTGAGCTTAAGTAGACCCAAAAGGGACCCCTAAAAGGGACCCAAATTTGATCAAGGGACTTAAAATGGACCTAAAATGCAAGACGAAAAGTGGGCCCAAAATGAAAGTGACCTAAAATGGACCTAAAATGACCCAAAAGGGTCACCCCCCCTCCCCCCCCAAAAGGGAATCCCAAAACACACCTATCAGAGACCAAAATTTGACCCCAAATTGACCTAAAATTGACCCAAAAAAGGGATCTAAAATGACCCAAAATAGTCCCTAAAAGAGACCTAAATTACACTTATCTTTTTTTTCTGCTGCTGTCAGAGAAAGAAATGATTTCTGTAAATGAGAAATTCCATTTTTTTTTTTTTTTTTAATGTAGGAAAAATGGGTTGAAATTCTATTTTTCTACTTGGGAAACGTTGGGTTGAAATTCCAGCTCCGGATCCAAGGACCTGGGCAAAGATCACCGAAACGAAATGAAATAAAGTGGAATAAAATGAGTTTAAATATGAAACCGCGCCTCATTTCGCAAACGTCACCGATAACGGAATCCCCCCCGAATCCTTTGTTCTTCATTTCGTGTTCGGAAATCGGAGCAGAACGCCGACACGGCCGGTTGGTGGTGACAGAAATGGAGGTGATGTTGTATTGAGGACCACTGACCCACAGAGGTCACATTGCGTTGAGCTGAGGGCCACCAACCACGAAAGGTGACGTTGTGTTGAGTTGGGAACCAACATCAGATGGAGATGACGTTGTGTAGAGGACCACCAACCCATGAAGGTGACGTTG